AGATGTCTGAGAGTAAGAGGGAGAAGATGCTGAAAGACCATCCTGCACATCTTGCCCAGATGGGCATAGCTTGTGGTACTTGGGGCCATACCATCTCTCCTGCTGGTCATGAGGAGCAGATTCATTTTACTTTGGTTGTGATTTTGTTTCTATGGTGAGTGTCGGGGTAGCAAATTACGTCTGTCCTTTACAGCTGTTTTTGTGGACCATGCTAGGATCTGGAAAAGTCCGAAGAAAACTAGTGTGTTATTGAATGTGAGTGGCTGAGGGTCAAACCCTGGATGTTGATGCATGACTCTGAGTTAACAGCCATATTTTGAGAGCTCAGCTTGGAGATGACCTGACTGTTTCAGATCAAGCACAGCTCAAGTGAACATAACAAAAACAATCAGTGCTCAGGGAGCTGCACGTGCCAGTGAGCACTTGTGTCTTCACCTTTGACTCCACTTTGGAAAGACCAGCGCTGCCATGGGCTTGTCCATGCAAATTGCCACAGATATCTCTGTCTAGGCATATTGCTACCTGAAATCCCTGAATGATTTGGTAGAGAGATCACACAAAACAGCTGAGCAGTTGCTGACTAGGTGCATATTCCCTGTCTGGTGATAGTAAGGATCTCTGCAGATTTGGTGTCTTCTCTAGCTTTGAAACTCTACAGTGCCAGAGGAAGTGACCTGCTGAGCACCTCCAGTGATCGCCTGTGTAAGCTGGCCTCCTGGACAGATGTCACTGGTTACTCAGTGGACATGAGACATGCAAGAACTACTGAAGTGGGAACTGGCAGCAACTACAGAGGAGCTCTGCTTTAGTAAATACCTTGTATTTTAAACCTCTGCTCCTCTGCCAGTGAACTCAAAACTTGGGGTCAAACTGAGGGAAGGAACAATTGGAATTCTTACAATTAGTGTAGGACCTACTGTATAACATTCTGCTAGCTAAGGCTGCCCAAACACAATGTATGTGCTACATTAGCTGAAAATCCAGTATTGGAGACTCCCACAGAATCCCAACTAATCCAACTAATCCTTTTAGTGCTTCCTGCCCTCCTGTTAGATGTCTGAGAGTAAGAGGGAGAAGATGCTGAAAGACCATCCTGCACATCTTGCCCAGATGGGCATAGCTTGTGGTACTTGGGGCCATACCATCTCTCCTGCTGGTCATGAGGAGCAGATTCATTTTACTTTGGTTGTGATTTTGTTTCTATGGTGAGTGTCGGGGTAGCAAATGACGTCTGTCCTTTACAGCTGTTTTTGTGGACCATGCTAGGATCTGGAAAAGTCCGAAGAAAACTAGTGTGTTATTGAATGTGAGTGGCTGAGGGTCAAACCCTGGATGTTGATGCATGACTCTGAGTTAACAGCCATATTTTGAGAGCTCAGCTTGGAGATGACCTGACTGTTTCAGATCAAGCACAGCTCAAGTGAACATAACAAAAACAATCAGTGCTCAGGGAGCTGCACGTGCCAGTGAGCACTTGTGTCTTCACCTTTGACTCCACTTTGGAAAGACCAGCGCTGCCATGGGCTTGTCCATGCAAATTGCCACAGATATCTCTGTCTAGGCATATTGCTACCTGAAATCCCTGAATGATTTGGTAGAGAGATCACACAAAACAGCTGAGCAGTTGCTGACTAGGTGCATATTCCCTGTCTGGTGATAGTAAGGATCTCTGCAGATTTGGTGTCTTCTCTAGCTTTGAAACTCTACAGTGCCAGAGGAAGTGACCTGCTGAGCACCTCCAGTGATCGCCTGTGTAAGCTGGCCTCCTGGACAGATGTCACTGGTTACTCAGTGGACATGAGACATGCAAGAACTACTGAAGTGGGAACTGGCAGCAACTACAGAGGAGCTCTGCTTTAGTAAATACCTTGTATTTTAAACCTCTGCTCCTCTGCCAGTGAACTCAAAACTTGGGGTCAAACTGAGGGAAGGAACAATTGGAATTCTTACAATTAGTGTAGGACCTACTGTATAACATTCTGCTAGCTAAGGCTGCCCAAACACAATGTATGTGCTACATTAGCTGAAAAAAACAAGCGTGGTAGAACTGAGTGCACCTAATGTCCTGCTCTTTCCCCGTAGCTGAGCATTTCTTAGCTCCTAAATCTTTCCTACCCACCCACAGATTGCAAAGCAAAAGGGGAAAAGGTCTGGACTGCAGAGGAGGAGACACCAAAATGCACAGACAGCACCCTGGTATTTCAAGAACTGTTGTCACTGCAATTATCCATGAGAAGCTTTATCCTGAACTTGCAGAAGTGGAACTAAAGCACAGGGAGGAGTAACAAGAGGCTTTGAGCCACCCTGGCAGTCAGGACCAGAACTCTGAATCTCCGGAGCCGGCTTTGTCCGGCTGTGATCAAAGACACTGCGCGAGGCTGCAAGGTTTGGGAGAAGGATAAAAAGAGGGAGAATAACTGATCCACAGTGAGGAACTCACTGTGAGTCTTCTGGGGAGCTGGCATTGCTGCATCCATCACAGTTGAGCAAAACTATAACAAGTGAGGAATTAAACCCAGTCACGGAGTTCCCTTTGGTCAGCCCCTCCTGCTGACCTCACCTGACCTGTCCTCTCCACGGGACAGACCAGCCTTTTGCCTAGTGTTTGTGCAGCCCCCTGAAATCAGCACAGCTAGGGAGAAGTCATGCAGAGTAGAGACCTGCCTGCATCAACAGCCAGGAGTCACAGCTCCCTCTGAACATCTCATTTGTCACTTGATTCAACCTGGGCAGAGAGAGAAGAGGAGGAGGTGGGAAGGAGAGTGAACACCAGATCTCAGCTAGCACTGCTCAGAGCTCCCTTGCCCTCCACTGCAGACCCAGCAGCAGCAACAGCTGGGATTGCAAAGGGTGTTGATGTGCAGTACAAGCAAGTTTTACACTGGAGCATGGCAGGGGCAGGGGCTGGCTGCATGCACATAGGAGCTTTTCTAGGGAAAGGTAGACAAAGGCTCACATAGTCCAGAACATCATCTCTTCTGGTCGAGCATGGGTGGGCTGCCTGGCAGCACAGGCAGACATGCTGCACACAGCACAAGTGGAGCCATCTCTGGGGAGCCTCTGATGTGCTGGGCAAGAGAAGCCACATACAGACATGTTAACTCACTGCATCTGTAATGCTGCCCACTTGCTTTTGAGTCTGTGGGAAAGCCAGCATTCCTGGCCCACTAGGACTGCCAGCTGCACAGGGAGGACTGTGAGACAAGGGACTGCCCACGACTCTGAAATGTTTTTGGGACCAGTATGGCCACTTGCTCTTTGCCTGAAAAAAATCAAGCTCCCAGCTTAGAGCATTAAGCTTTAATGGTGACATGAGTGGAGATGCAAAGGGGCTTTATTTCCACTGAGAGAAGGTGGAAAAGAGGAACAGAGGCCAAAATCTTTTTTAAAAATTGATAAGAAAGAAAAATAATGTCATATCTGAATCTGTCTGCCCAGCTGCCCTTCAGTTCATGGCTGGCATGGTTTGTTCACTGCCATGTGGGAGATTTATCTTCTATTGACAGATGAGCTAATCAGTTCCCCTCAGCTCCTGAAGCTTTATCAAAGCCAGTTAATCATGTTACTGATGTCCGCCCAGGCCAGAGTTCTCCACTTCTGTCCTCTGCCAACAAGGTGACACAAATGTACACCACACACACCTAGGGATATTTTGTACCATTCCTAATTCCACCAGCAAGAGGCTATCACCAGTGACTATTGTGCCAAGATGCATGTGCTGTCTGTCTCATCCCCTTTGCCACCCTTTGTTTCTGGAGAGATGTGGTAGCTCCGTGAGCATCTCATGAAGGAGCAGGATATCTCTACAGGCCAAGCTCACATATCAGCACAGTGGTGGCAACAGTGGGAAGAACTGCCCTCACCAGACCCAAGTCCTATGGGGGAAAGATGCTGAAGCCAAGAGACATTTGAACCTGGATACCAAGGTGTGTGGTCCAGACCTATGACTGCTGCTGGGTTTGTTTTACTTCTGTACTCTCCATCAACTGCTGCTCTATGATATAGTCTGTCCTGCTCCTGAGGGCTGAACTGGGGGCTTTGCTCCTTCCCTCTGGCGTGGCCCTACCCACACAAACACAAATTCACTGACTCAAGAGGACTGCCTTGTCCAACCGAGCTTCCGGGATGCTCTTTTTGCCTTTATACCAATGATGGAAGGACAGAGACATGGGGCGCTCTCTGGGACCCTCTTTGATTCCTGGCAGGGTCACTTGAACTTACATTATCTCTAGTGGTTTGTGCTTGGGTGAACATTGCTCAGGAGCACCTTGGGAGGTGGCTGGTATTCACTGGACTGTTTTGGCAACAAGTGCTCTTTCAAGGGCCTGGCTGGTGAGTGCCTCTGCACTTGGGTATCATCAGCTATGTTCCCCCATCCTGCAGATCTGCACTGGGGCTACAGCTCCTGCTCTCAGGGAGAGGAGAGAGGCTAGGCCGCCAGCATCTGCTTTGCTGGCTGGGCTTGCTCAGTGTGGGGCAGCTTCATCCTCAGAGCTGCTCTATACCAGCAACCTGACGAGGCTATGACCTGGGCTTGCTGGGACTTGTAGCTCCAGGGTGGGCCAAGGAAGAAGCAGTCACCCCTGCCTGGCAGAGAGACTGGGCTGGGAAGCAAAGGAGTTGCACATGGAGAGACCTTGCCCTACCCAGCCACGGGGCTGTCTCTAAATCAGTTATTCCAGAAAGAAAGGAGTTTCTCAAAAACCTCACCCTCCCCGGCCTCCCCCAGTCATCCCCATCCTCTTCTTCCTCTGAAGAGAGATTGTTTCTCCCTGGGATCCCCACAGGTCCCTCTGCCAGCCCAGCCAAGAAGACACTCTGGGGCTGCCAGGACAAGCAGAGAAGACTGTGGAAAAGGTGCCACAAAAGCCAGGAGAAGAAAAAGCTGGGGAGGCTCAATCAGCTGAGCTGTACCAGCAGCTCTCCATGCTGTCTCCCACTCCTCTCCATGCGCGAGGGGGCAGCCGACTTTGGCTGTACCATGAGATATGGTCACCCACCTATACAGACAATGTCCATGAAGCCATACATTCCATAGCAGATCTGGAAGAGCAGGTCCTGGCGCTGCCATTTGGCTGAAGGACTGAAAGTCGACCAGATGAGCCACGAGATACTGGCGATGAGGAAGAGGGAACCCAGGATGGCTGCTGCTATCTGAACCTTCTCAATGACTGTCAGAGAGATGGCCTGCCACTGCAAGGGGGGCAATGGGAAGAGGAGAGGGGACAAGAGGGAGAGAGGAAGGAAAAAGAAAAAATATTAGTTACATGGGGCACATCACTGTTTTACATAATTGTGGTGGTTTTGGAGATCTTGGAGAGAGCCTAAGACTTATGTGTGCATTGTACACATAGATGTTTTTACCTGGTCCACATCTGGGATTGTAGCACAGCAGTTGTTCAACAGTGCATGGCCCCATGTTTCCTGGCAACACTGCTGAAGAGGAAATGGGGACAAATCCTGCATCTCACCAGGAAGGCACAGAGATCCAAGGGAGGCAGGAAGGACTGGGGACAAGACACCAAAAGTAACATCCCCGTGACAGTGGGGCTGTGATGGCCTACAAGGCATTCAGTTGCTACCTCAAATGGAAGCCAGGCAGCATCCTCAGCCAGACATCCTACTACCATGAGAATAAGTGTCTTAGAGAGCTAAGCTTTCCTTCAGAGGCCTCCCATGAGCTGGCTCTGTGCCACTTTGTGAGATCTGATGGGATCACAGCACTAGGTAGGATCTCACAGTGGCAACGCACATCCCACAAAACTTGTTACAAACAACACAAGTTGCTGTGGTCAGGACACTATGCCTTTGGGTGATGACACATTCAGGCTGAGTTCCAAGCTAAATGCGATGTTTGTTCCTCATAAGAAACAGAAAACCGGAAATAACTCCCCCAGACCCATTCACTATGTCAAATAGCTTTGTATAAGCTACAGTATAAATATCCTAAGCCAGGACTTCTCCATGTCATCCAGAATAAAACCTTCCTACTCAGATTTATACTGCTGAGAGAACTGCCCTGTAAAAACCAAGAGCAGAATTTTTTTTGTTTTACAAGACTTGGGAACATGGGCCATAGCCCCTCCTGCAAATCAGAAAATCAGAAATCAAACATAAACAGGCTGGGGAAAGACAGTCTCCCCTGTCATCGAAGTATATAGGCCACCTTTAGCTGTGAGATACATGCCCTTGAAATCTCAGTGGGACTGGCAGAAGGATAAATAAAGGCATAGCTCAACGTCCTGCAGGCAGAGATGATTCAGAGGAAGTGAAAATATTTAGCCTGGATTCAGCCCAAATTAAGTGTCCCTGTGAGGAGGGAACTGTGGTGAGCCCTCAGCATCTTGCCCGTTTGTCAAACACATGCTGGGACAGCAGGGTCACCTGCCAAGCCTTGCCCTATCCTTTTGTAGGACAAGAAAGGAGTTCAGTTGCCAAGTTCCTCTTTAATGCCTAGGCCAGCCATGAGCTACAAGTGGGTTTTGGGAGGTAGTAGGACTTTGAACCCTGAATGAAGGGCAAGAAGGACAACAGGTCACTTGTGCTGGTGCAGGTATACATGGCATTGCTATGGTCCAATGACCAAACCCTGAACCAAATGCGCTCCCCCGCAAAGGGCTGCCTTTGAAGAGGAACAGGCAAGAGCTTGAGCCTGAGTCTGAGGTCTGCAGGTTGCAACTGAAAGGAGATAGCCTGGCTTGGCTCAGAGGTGAGCTGAAGTCTCTGTCTCTGCTAGCCTTGCTCCTTGGATTATGTCCTGCAAGGGCAGACAGCCCTCAAATTCTAAGTCAGGGAAGTGCAGCATCAGTGAGATGGGTGGTACCAGCTTATTTCATAGTTGGCCATAGTGTAGATAGCCATGAAGTTGCTGAACAGAAGAGAACCTCTTCCTCACTAAGGCAGGACTCTGCTCAGCTTACCCCAGTTGCCTCCTGCCATCCTCTCCAGCAGCTGGCCCAGCCAAAGGTGAACACCGAGTACTGGAGACACTCAGTGACCTCTTAAACAGCTTGTTCTCATTCTTCTACAGCCTGCCCTGCTCCACACCTCCACCAAATTCAGCCAGCTGAGACAGCGAACTGCCCTCCTCTGAGGGCTGGGAGCTTGGTGGTGCCAGCCACAACAGGAGTGTCAAGGAGTGCTGGAGTCCACAGGAGATGCACAGCTGTATGATTCCTCTTCCCTCATGGGACAGAGCAAAGGCCACCTCACAGCTGAGAGGGAGTGACAGACCTTCCAGTACCCATCATCCCCAGATTTGGGTTCTGAAGGTGAGAAGAGGAGTTATGCTGCCCTTCTGTAAGCTCTTCAGCTTCATCCTCAACAAGACTATAAGCAGATGCAGGACAAAACCACAACCAGTGCCATCAGCTCAGAGCTGCAGGAGTAGAGGCACATGCTGGGGAGAAGTTTGTTAAGTGTGTGGGGCTGCACTTTCACCTCTGCAGTTTATCCCAGACATCATCTCCCCTTCCACTAACTTTGGCAAATGCCACAGGGACAGGGGTGTGGGATCCTGGTGCACAGCCTGGTGCTGCACACAAAGGTTCTACTGTAGGTCCCTCACACTGACCCTGGTGTGCCTGTGCCAGCCAAATCATTCTGCATCATTTCTCTCTCTCGAGGAGGTAATGGACTGGCTCCTTACCATCTGTCTGGCACTCTGCAAGGCTTGTGGTGGCAACAGGTCTTTCCAAGGTAGCAATTACAGACAGAAAAAGGAGAAGGAGCTGTTTTCTACAACTGGGAGCCATGTACAACTAGCACCACCACTTTGCAGAGCCAGGGAGGCGTGGGTGCAGTATTGAATACACTGTGCAAGGGGATGTGGTTCAGAGCATAGAGAAGTGACACCTGAGTGCAAGCTTCAAACCCTGCTCCCTTTGGTTGGGCACAGAGGCTGAAGCAAAGGCAGGGACACTGCCTGGTGCTGCTCAGCTGGCAGCAGCTGCCAGGAACTTTTGCTGCAGTGATAATGAAGAGCCTGGAGCCCGACAGCCATGCCTAGGGGTAGGAGACTCTCCCCAGGCATCTGGCACTAAGTGACAGTGACACACACAGCAGCAGTCCTGATTCTGTTCAGGAGGTGGCACCAGGGTGTGATTACCCTCTGGCAAGGAGGTAAATGGGTCAGAGCTGAACACTGGAGAAAATAACCAACTTGCAAAAAAATTTAATGTTTTCCAGGAAAAAAAAAAAAAAGTAAAAAAAAAAGTAAGTAATAAATGTTGTGTTTCCTCTCTGGCAACCCTGAGAACTGCAATTGAGCAGCCCACATCTAGCCCGAACCGCCAGTAACCTGAGTAGCCATTTTTCATCTTTTAATTCCATTTTGCACAGAGAGAAGAAAAGGGGTGAGACAAGGGATAAAGTGTGTTACCCAGCAGGAGCACAGACAGAAGAGTCCGAGAGTTGTTCAGAGGTGGAACGTGCTGATGAACTTCAGCTGCAGGAGCTGGGGCTGATATGTCCCTGCCAGAGGCCTCAGGAGCCCACCCCAGACACATCACTGTGCCTTTCAGATTTCATAACAGCCCTTAGAGTATCACCCATGACTGCTAGAGCTGCAAGGGAAGTTCTCAGCAATGCTGCAGTCCTTTTACTGGCACATCTGAAACCCCCAGAGCTCTCTGTCTGAATGCCTGCCTGCAGACACAACCCTTTGGCTCCACATCTCCAGCTCAAAAGTTTAAGCTCTAGCAAGGTCACAGTGTCAAGCAATCCCACCTTGCAGGAAGAGACCTAAACCAAGCCCTTCCTTCCTCAACTGATAATCACTGTTGAGTCCCATGTAGCTGCTGAGCACTCAAATGCACCTTTAACAACCAGCAGCTCTCCCAGGTTGTCAATCAGAAATGTGACCTTTAGTCGGGTAGAAAGCTCTACAGATGCTCTACTAGCACTGAACAGGGTAGAACTAAGGACTTGGTGGTACCAGAAAGCTTTAAAGGCTCCTGCAGGATAGCAGGAGCAGCTTTGTGAGCTCTGGGCTTACAATGGCCTCAGAGCACACCCAAGCTACTCTCTGCAGTGGCTTGTCACCTGCACTGGAAAAAGGACTCTGTCCCTACAGACAGATTGGTCTGAAGAAACGTCATCATTCACTGAGGAGCTGTCTGTGTGTCCTTTGCTACCATCTCTCTTGGACAATTTGGCACACCACCCAGAACTGTACATGCAAAACACCAAGCTCTCTTGTACTGGTTTCCTCCAGGTTTCCCAGTTTTTCCCAAATCACAAAGGTCTGTGGCCCAAATGTCTCAGAAAGGGTTTCTTAGGGTCTGACATCTGTGATGACCCTGGCCAGGAGCCAAGCTGGGACAGGTGCCTGCCAATCCTGTCGCACTTTTTTCTTACACCGTTTCAGAACCTACCTGTTGTACTTAAGACTAACCAGTGCCTCTGCTCAGAGGCTTGTGGGTGAAAAACCCCCACTACTACTGTAACACAGACAATTAATGTCATTACTATAGTATTTAAGGCCTGATTCATATTTCCCTTTATTTGGCACTAGCAGTCTCTAAAGCTTCTCAAGCTCCAGCATGAGCAGATCCAAGACAGACATTTGCCTGCAGAAGATATCTGTGTCTTACTGCAGCAGCTTGCTGAGACCTGCTTGCAGGAAAAGCCTTCCTACACTCCTCTGAGAGCTCTCCCATGCCTGCCTCAGGCAGTTCAGTTTATTTTTATTGCTGTATCTGACATGTCCCCTTAGCACGAATCATTAACATCCTCAGCTGTGCTAGTCAGCGATTTCGTTTTCAGATTCAGGATCACAAGTAAGAAGAGTTTTTTCCAAGAAGGATGGAGTGGACCATTACCAGCACTGCTCAGGTCTGGCTTTCCCCTCTCTGCTATCCTGAGGCCCTGGCCATCCTCCTCAATTATCTTTTGGAGGATGGCTTTTTAAAAATTTTAAATTCACCAAGTAAAGTTCTGCCCCTGCTGTGCATTTACAGGTGTTGTGCCTTACTCAGACACTGGAAAAGCAGAAGGGAGAAGGAAGGTCCAGCAGGGCTGTGTAATGGAAACATGCAGTAATGAAACCCCCTTTCCTCCATGTGCCAGAGCATCAGATGTAACTGAGACTACAGTCTGGGTATCCTAGAAAGTCCCCATTATAAGGCATAGGCCATGAAGTGTCTTGCTGTGACTGCACCCATTGCTTACAGGCGGAAGCTGGAGCTCAGCAGGGACCAGCCAAGGCTTGTACTCAACATACAACAGGAAGTTGGGACAAGCAGGATATTCCAGTGAATTTATCTTGAGCTTTATTTCTCAGGAGCTCAGGCTGAACACCCTGGAACCTCAGCCACTTTTCTTGCAGATTTGGGAATCCTGATGAAGAGGCCATACAAGCAAACACTCATCAGCATCACTATGGTCAACACAGCCAGAGGACAACCAGGACTGGATCCCTACTCCAGCATTGGATAACTGAGGATCTTTGCAGCTGAAACAATCTACAAGATACAAAGAGTCAGAGATAGCAACTGTAAAACACAGCTGAACTCCCTGATACAGCAGGCAGTTGCAATTCTGGGAAGGTTGGTTCAAATGGATCTTGTATTTGCTAAATCAGAGCATCAGAGTGAATGTGGCTCAGGAACAGCTACAAAAGAGATGTATAAATGAGATCCACTGCAGAGTCCCATCATGGCAGGTACCTACTCCACCACGTAGCAGCAACAGAGTGCCTGCCATGCTATTGAAATCCTGAGTCTTCAGGGCATTTTTAAAGTCATGGACTTTGCACAAATACTGCAATGGAGAGGAGCATTTAAAGCCTCTAAGCTCATAACTCCTGTCTCAGTGACTGGGGGACTGGAGAGCAGGAGGATGGATGGATGGATGGATGGATGGATGGATGGATGGATGGATGGATGAAGAGATGGATGGATGGATAGATGGATGGACAGACAAAAGCTCTGGATCATCTGGTTACTCACAGCTGATAGGCTATTTTTGCTCATTTGCTGTCTAATTGCTACTTGATAGGACTCTTGCCATGTTGTCCAACAACTTTAATCCCCCAGTCTTAGCAGGTTTGCAGCTTTGAGACCTTTGCTCTTAAATGTCTGCAACCCAGGGATGGAGCCATGGGGACGGAGAGTTAATGTATAGAGATTCATTCTGCCAAAATACTAAAGGCCTCTCTCTCTGGTATGAGACATCACAACAGCCTGGAGGCTGGAAGGAGACTGTGTTAATCATGCATGAACCATGTTCCCCTGGCTGTAACTTCTCTGCCCACACTACAAGTCTCCACACACATCTGGCCCAAACTGCTCTCCTAGGCACTCCAAAAAATGTGCAGCAGATGTCAAAATGGGCAGAGAAACATGCAAATCCTGGGGAACATGTAGGTGTTGGGTGAGCTGCTCGGCTCATACAATTGGATACGCTTCAAGGAGCCCAGGGCCTGCCAGCTGCACACTTTCCATCAGTCTGTCACATGAGAGGACACAGGCATAGTCACAAAGGACAGGTAGAGCATGTTATTGGTTAAAGTCTAGCCAGGCTCAAGAGTGTCACGGATTTGACAAAGAGGTGAGGTTTGTGTGGTCCTTGACTGTATTATGGCTGATCTGGAATAAACAGAAAACCATGACCTCCCACATCATTTGCCCTCCAAAACCCCTGCTCGAGAAATTCAGAACTTTCTAGTAAGAATAAAGCTGGGCAGAAGTGCCAGCAGACCCTGAGAAAAAGGTCAGGGACTATTGCTTTACTTAGAGACATGGTGGCTGCTGCTATCCATGTGTGGGATGAAGACCAAGAAGAACTATACTCTTCCCACCTGCACATGCTGTAGCACGTTGTTATGGCACATAGTGTCAGGGAATTGCAGCCCCTCTCTGCCACCCTTTCCCAGCATCACAGGATGGTGAGAGCCACTGAGGAATGAGGGAAACCCTGGTAGTGTGTGTGTGGTGATGGGCTACAGGGAGCTTGAGCCCTTAGTTCTCCTGAGAAGTGCATACCTGGTACATCAGCTGCTTCCCATGGGATTTCACATAGTAGTGTAGCATCTGCTTTCCAGAAGTGCCTTTGTGCTGGCACCAGAGATGGCACCTATGCATGGAGCTATAATCCACACAAGCTGCATTTATTCCAGATCAAGTGGCTTTTCACTCTAGTTGCTTCTTTCCCCCCTCCAAATCTCCCAGCACTTCTGCAAGAAGTGCTGTGAAGCCTAAGTCAGTGATGCAAAGTCTCCCAGCTCAGGACTTGCATAGCCCACTGGGACCCTTACTCCTGGAGCTGAGCTCTCTAACCCAGTTGCTCCTACCACATAGTTTCTGTGTTCATGGCAAAGGCCAATAGATCAGGCCACCTTCTATCAGGAGAGCCCAAAATGAGCAATCTTTTGTGGAGGCTTTTGAATGTGTGTGTGGAAGGGGAGCTTGTCTGTGAATTGCCCAAATACATTTTAGACGAGTGAGGAGCAGGAGGGAAGTCACAGACCCATTGCCCTGAGCCACCCAAAGGCACAGAACATTTGGAGGTCACTCATTAAAGGCAGTACTGGCTACAGACACACTTGTAAATCTGCACCCACAAACCTTCAGTGCTGCTCAGCATTGCACCACCCATCTCAGACACAGGAAGCATTAGGGGACTCATAGGGGACCAGCTTTCCACAAATAAACAAAAACTGCTTTGTCCACATCTCCCCTCCTGTGTTTCAATCTGCTCTGAGTTACTAGAGCCAAGAAATTAAAATACCCTGGGTTTGGGGCTTGGGATGAAACCACTGATCTCTCCAGCCTGCAGCACATGGAAAATTAAATCAGAAGCTATAGGGACTTGCAGAGGGCAGGCAGTCTTTTTCCTTCCTCCCAGCAAAATTCCCCCATGATGCCCCACTACTTTCAGTACTGCATTTAAGTCTGGAGTCCTAAAGGACTGTCCCTGTTTCCCCACTGTGGTTAGTGACCTATGTGGTTACACACACAGAGACTGCAGCTTGGAGGAGAGAGAAGGACTTTGCATTCTCCCTCAACTCCATACCACCAGGCACCATCACTAGCAAAGCCCTTGCCTCCTGTTAGAGAGCAAGAGTGACCAGCAGAGAGCCAAAGCCCTCCTCCATGTGCTGGACAGACCAACACCCTCACAGACATGGCCCCAGTCAGTTAACCACAGCACGCTGCCATAATGTCTCTCCAGTCCAGATGATGCTAATTAAGCAGCAGTGTCTGGATGTGCTTCCTTACATCCAAGGCACTAACGGTGCTCAATAAAGATACATAGCAATTAGTCCATCTGCAGGTGTTTCCCCCACAATAAATCAATAGTTGTTAAGGATAATTTATCCTGTTTTGTCCTGTCACACATTTTTTCCCATTCTGAATCTTTATTTTAAATTACCAGCCTGCAGCAGGGCTTATTACATACACCACAGTGCTTTTGAACTTGCAAGAGAAAGAAGGTCCTCTGATGCCTTTCACAGCCACGTACACCAAAATGTGCTTTACCTGTTTTGTGTACATCTGCAATTGTCCAGTGAGAATCAGGGTTGGAGAGACCAGACCATCACAGCCAACACTCCTTGTGCTGTGCCAGGATGTATTTGATCATTGGGGACCAGTAAAGTGAAAAGTGCGGCAGGATCAGAGATGAGAGTCATAAGAGCCCTCCATCCATCTTCTCTATCCCTCATGCCACCACAGAGGAGGCCCAGGAGATCAGGGTTAATGGTACAACTCTAGAGACATAGGGTCTCAAGATACTGACAGGCTTCCTTGGACCAGCCCCTGACAACCCTTTCTAAGTGTCTCAGATGTACAGATCACTGTGCGCAGGGAAGGAAAATCCACACAGCTAAAATCCACTTGCTCCCAGAAACAAAAATAGAAACAAGAATAAATAGACTTTGAAATGTCTCTAGTACCTTTACCTGCAGAGGGTTCTTTGTGCTTATGGCAATGACATGATACTTGTAGTAACACAGCTCACAGCTCCAGCAGCCTCTCTCGCTAATCCACTTGATCAGACATGGCTGGTGTGTGCACTTCACTGATCCATCGCATCGACACGGGCTCAGCAACTCCCCCTGAAAAACAGAGACAGCATCAGCCAGGCTCCCCTCCTCTCACAGGGACTGAGCAGAGCACAGCAGAATCTCCATCATCCATCTATTTGCTCTTTGCTCCTTTTTACCTGGTTTGGCTCAGGGAATCTTGCTGCCTCCATCCGTTTTCCTTCTAATAATTCTCAGCAGATGGGAACAGAGTTTGACAGGGATATAACGGTCTCAAATACTTGGGTCCTACCATTTTTTTCTTATGGAGAGAGACAGATGGGTAGATGAAAGATGCTTAGTATCACTGCTGAGGGAAAAGCTAGATGAGCACAGCTCTTCCTAGACACTAGAGCACAAGTGGACATGGTTCTACTGGCAACCAGATGCCACTGTTTCACTGCTCAGGTTTCTGGCTGCTACCTCTTTTAGAAAGTGAGGTTGGTGGTAGGGACAGCTGTGAGACAACCTCTGCTGCAGGCTGGTGTCCTGCCCAGCCCAGGTTGGCTTCTTTGAGCCCAGATGGGCAGGAGAGGGAACACAGACCAGTGGTCCTTGGACTTTCTGTACAGGCTGACTCATGCCAGCCGTGGAGGTGCCCTAGGAGCTGGACTGAGCCCAGGGCCTTGCAGTACCTCCCAGAACTTGGCAGGCAGTGGGTGTTAGCAGTGCTAGACACAGGTGTCTCCTTCCCAGCACTCCCAGACTGAGAGGGATGAACCTGGCTGTGGGTGGCATGCTTTGGGTCCACGTCTTTGTGTACACATAGCCCAGAAGCAAGGAAAATGTCCTCAAATTTCATTCCCTCAGATCCCCCAGACAGCCTGTCCTGAAAGTGAGTCATACTGCTAGATAGCCTGTAGGGCTGGCTATTTCCACCCTTGAAGCAAGCAGGATGGAGAACAAATTGTATTCTGGCTTGTGACACACAGACATTTAGGAGCAGTGGCCAAACCACTGAATCTCCTGGCTCACTCCCTTGCTTCTGGTGCAGCTTCAAACAGGATTATCCAAGAAATCCCAATATTATTCCAATCCGTCTGCTATCATCCTGTTCACTGTGGAACTAAATTCCCCTCTGCTCACACACAAGCTCAGGAGCTCATTTTAGAGTCATTCGCCATCGCTTACTCAGGGAAGAACAGAGCTGTTAGATTTTACTCCCCACATCCTAGTGTTTAAAAGCCACAGTATATACCCCAACAGTGTATTTAGCTCCAAGATTTAAATGCTTTTAAAGGAAGAACAAGTGTATCTTTGGGACAGGGAAGGCTGGCATCATATTTTCAGTGTAGAGAGAGGATATTTCCTCTTACATCTGTAGATCAGCTCCATCATTACCACTGATGGTGCACCAGGATAACAGACCCTGGTATCTGAGGCTGCTGGACACCATAAAAGATATCCATCCCAGCTGCCTTGGGTTAGGAAAACAGATCCTGCTCTTGCTAATCCTAGGGGAAACTCTCTTAGCTTTTGGGGTACCACATCAGGCCTCAGGACCCAGGGAACTGAGCACTACACTGGCAAAAGCGATACTTTTGTAAAATGACACCTAATGTAAACATGTTAAAAATTTCATTTCCTTCAGCTGGGTGACCTAAAAATGTCATCGACCATAACATTTTAGCAAAACTGTAAATATCTGTTTACATTACAAAACCAGGTTTGGCTTTACCTGTCACTGCTTTCATTGCACCCTGAAGGGGATGCCAAGGGAGAGGAGGAGCAAGAAGGGTTGTAGGATTTGGGAACCTTTTTCACCTGGAAAGGTGCAACAGGACAAGCCAGGAGAAGGGAAGCAGAGAAAGGATTAGATGCGAGGAAGGCGCACATGGGAAGGAGAACCAATGTTTGCTCTTCAGACTCCTTTGTGAGGTGCAGTTGGAGGGGCTGGCTGAGAGGTTTGGCTGTGCATGTCTCTGCCTGGTACACCTCTCTTCTGTGCTAAGAGCCACCCTGATGCAAAGACTGCTGCCCTGTGCCTCCCATCTGCCCTCCTCATCTCAGTCCCTGGTGTGTTTTCTTCTCAGCAGCTTGATGCCTCAGTGCATGTGTGATCCCAGCACCAAGCAGGTAACACAGAAACCTCTCAGCTCTACCGTGTCCCTGCCTTTCCATGTCACTCCACACTGAGGAGTCTAGTCAGGTCTCAAATAGGTGAGTGAGGGACCTGGGCTTTGTCTTAACCAGGAGCTACAGGCACTGGTGATGAGCGATCAGGAACAAGGCAGATGGGAGCAGGAACTAAGAGCAATAACCCTCCGGGCAAAGGCAGAGGGGAAAAGCTGTAGCTGCAGCCTAGACTCACGTTGGCTCTTTGGGCTCTGTAATAAATGAGTCTTATGAAATCTCAGCTTGTCTTTTCAGAGCCCAGAGATGTCCACAGATGTCCTACACTGCCGTGGGGACCTGGTCCCCCTTCCCTAATTGGGACATTCCAACCCAGATAGTCCTGCCAGCTCCTCCAAGAGCTCAGGACTCAATGGTGGTTTCTTGATTTTTGCAAATTCAGCAATAACCTGATTTATCATATTTTCTGCAGCCGTGTGAAATATTCTATCCTTGTGTGTGACACACAGCTATTTCTGCATACTGCAAAACCCCATTCTGTCCACAGGAGGCTTTGTAAAACATTTCCACATGCACACACATGCACATGCACCCCTCTACCAGCAGAAATAAATAAACACCAGGGGTGTATTAAAGGAATAAATCCTTTGTACAGCAAAGGAGAAGGAAACTCATTGCTGGCTATAGTGAACTCATGAGCAGTCCACTGGCTGTGATACACATGAGGGTTTGCTGGGCAGAGACTTCTGCTAAAACACACAAAAGCAAGCCCAACATGAGGTGCAGATCACAGCAATTAGGGATGGAAATTAAATCCTCATGCTAATTTCTGTAGGTTTGTAGAAGACTGCTCTGCACAACATATTCTCCAGTGCTTCAAACAACAGCGTTCCCACCACTTCCCTCTGGCTATTGCTCTCCAAACACCTTTTGAAGGGTCTGCTTCCCAACACTTTGCAGTTTTCCTTTGCAGAATTACAACCTGTCACTCAGATTAGCCTAGGCAGCATTTCTGCTTTATCAGCAACTAGTGGAGAAATGCTCCATGGCTGCAAGCTTCACCCTCAGCTTGCTCAGTACCATTTTGTTCCCCTGAAATAACCAAACTGGCTTAGGACTCAGGGCACCTGCTTTGTTGTTGTTGTTATACAAGTCAAAGGTAGAAAACTAGAGTTAACAAAAAAAGGAAGGGTGGTTCTGGTTTCATCCTTAGGTCTCTCAACATATAGATGAAATACTCTTTCCTACATATAATTACTCTTCCCTGCTTCTGGGAAGAGTAATATATTAAGCAATTATGTGTAGTATTCTTCCCTGTTTCTGGCTGTGATGGGAGTATGTCTAGGAGTAGCAGTGGCAAGGCTGAACTGGCTTTACTCCAAGGATGCTGATGGAGACAAACCGGGAGCGTAGGTCTGCTCCAGCTCTGTCCTCTCCTTATGAATTCCCAAGCTGTGCCCGTTGCAAAATGTCAGAGGTTAATGATTTCCTGGGCCCTCCTATTTTAAGGAGGAGTTCTGAGAAAAGATGGAAAAAAATTATTGCTTCTGATGCTCAGTATATCCCAGGGAGAAAATAACGATGTCAGGAGCAGTGTCACCCCTGTGGTGTCCTGCTGTCCGCGTTTCACCCGGCCGTTTCATCTGTCATTTATCATTTATATGGGAGCCCATCCTCACATTGTGACCAAAGCTGCAGCTGCTCACCCACCCACAGGCAGTCATGGGATGTGTTTCCCAGGCCTGTTCTTTTAACTATAAATTAAGTATAGCAGATTTGCCCATGTAGTCTCCTTTGAACATGGCAGGGCTGGGGATGATAGTGTCATTGGTCCAGGACTGGTCTTCTGGGCTCTCGCAGCTCCAGCTGTGTTGACCTACATCTGCTGTCTGGGTTGCTCCTGAGCACCAGCTCAGCTGGTAAGAGCCACATTAGCAATACTCTGCTATTGCAACTATTACAGCAAACATTGTGAAAACCAGTGCAAGTTGTACAGCAAACTGGGATGGCTGACGGTGATATTAACATCTGTGGTTTTTCCTAAACTGTGTTTTCTCCCAGTTGTGTGTTTTCCCTACTTGGGTGTGCAAAGTAACTTCAGTCATTAGCACTGCCAGTAGGAGCAGTGCCCAAGGCCAGAGGAGGATAGTGAGAAGAAGCTGAAAGGAGTCGTGCCTATCACCAGGGCTGCAGTCTCTCTCAGGGTACACACACACAGCTGCCACTGCTCACAGGAGTAGCTGCACGCACGGATCAGACTGCCAGCATTTATCTGAGTTTGTCTTGTTTGGAAAAGGAAGCCAGAAATATTTAATTTCAGGTCTTCAACTGAGTCTCCTAAATACACTTAAATCTTCACATTGAATTTAAATGCAATGGGAAGTTTTATTATGGCAAATAAATGCCAGATGATTTAAAGATTAGGAATGTAATTACAGAGGAATTTAATCTGATGGCAAAGAGAAACGCATTGTTAGAGAGCTGATAAACTTCAATAACTAGGTACTAATGATCACTCTGTCTTCACACATACTTGCAGGAATAGCCCCTCCATGATTTTAAATGTAAACACACATATTACTATCAGCATCTCAAATGCTTCCCATGAGAAGAACCCTCCTGTGTGTTAGTGCTGTGCCAGCCAGCAACAGACAAGGGACATGAAATAGGTTATGAATACATGTATGTCTATTGCATGAAAATTCTCCAGCATTGGTGGGAGATTGATGCATGGACCCAACAAGGAGTGGGCTTATAGGACACCATTATGTATGGGGCTATGTGGTGAGGTGGCATCTCCTCAGACACCCCAGCAAAGCTGGGTGCTGACCCAAATCTCCATTTTGGTGGCAATTTGCCAAGGGAGTTTCCCTTGCTAGGGGGGAGGATCCCCCAACTGGGCAGTTGGGATACCTACAGGTATCCCGACCTAAACCTGGGGAACCTACAGGAAAATCTATGTGAATAATTATAAAAGGAAATCGACCAGACTTGTTGAGGCTCCCTTCCCATCCCCAGGTGCCACCACTGCTGCCATGCCACCTCCATGACTAGGTCTGGTAGAAAAGATGACTTGCAAGACCGGGCATCCCTGTGGCAT